CACCGCAAAGAAGAAGCTCCTCGCAACAACATCAACCAGGACCGAGCAGAATCCGGTCGTCTGCAACAACATATGCAGAGGCGACCCGAGGCCAGACGTCACCACGAGCCTCGGTGTCCGGGGAGGACATCGCCATCTCCAGAGCCTCCCCCGCAAGAACAGCGACCGGATCAGTGGCGGCAACAACATCCATAGCCGCCACACTCACAACAACAACAACAACAGTCTCGGTCTGCAGCGGGAGCATAGCGAGCGCAGTCAGCAGGCCAATCATCAGCATGGCCTGCCAGCGACCAGAAGAAGTGCAGGTGCAACTGCTTTCGCAGACACCTGCACTCTCAGTGGTGGAACAAATACCACCTACAAGCGGCGATACTCCAACACCGGCAGTTGCAGAGGCAGCAACAACACCAGCGAACCCTTCTCCAGCAACACCATCAGCTGAGGCAACTGTCGAAGAGGACTGGCGAGTCGTCGGAAGGTCCCGTAGAAGAAGCTCGGCCCCAACACCACCTGTCGCCGAGCAAGAACGTCGAACCGCCGCAGCGCCCGAAATAACATCTTCACCGGTTCGTACCTATAATTTATTCGAACAGTTAAACAACGCGATTGAGCTCGTATTTAGGGACACGCCGCGCAGAAGCGTGGACATTCCTCGAGCCATCAATGTCCCGGGACCGAGACAATCGGCGGAGGAAACGGGTCACGGCGACCGTCATCGGCCGGACCTCGCGCCTGATGTGTCGGAGGTAAGGGTCGTCAGGCGAGAGCAAGAACCTCCTCGTGGGAACGGTGCCAGGGGCAACGGACGTCGTGGCGGACGAGCCGTTGCTGGCCGCGGACCCACGGTGGAGCAGACTGCTCTCATAGACCTGGCCTGCCTTGCCAACGACGCACAGCAGCTAGAGCATACTGCCACTCTGGCTGCTGAGTATCTATCAAGATTTACCGAGAGAAGGGCGCGCGGTCCGGCCGGAGGCGGTCGCCGCAACAGGCGCGCGAATGATGCGCGAGGACGACAACGAAACGGCGATGACCCCGCGGCGGGCGCGGGCGATGGTGCCGGTCCGATCACCAGGGAGGGTTGGGTGGCGGCGGCTACGCGAATTCAGCGCCTCTACCGCAAGAACCGGAGGAGGGCCGTCCAAGAGGTCGTCAATGGGGCTCCTCAGCACTGCGAAATCAGTGTTGCCGAGGTCCAGAGGCACTTCGAAGACGTGCACTCCGTCAGAGAGCCTGGAGGAGCACTACCGCCGCTGTTCAACGCCGAACCGCCCACGGCGGCCAGCAATGCTGCTTTGGTGAAACCCTTCGAGAGAGCAGAGGTGAGCCTGAAGCTCAAGGGGATGAATAACTCATCTCCTGGGCCAGACGGTGTAACCTACTGTGATTTGAAGAGGGCAGATCCAGGCTGTCATGTGCTGGCTGCAATCTTCAACGCGTGTCTACGCACTGGGCTGGTTCCGCAGTGCTGGAAATCATCCAGCACTATCCTCCTGCATAAAAAAGGTGACCGGGCAGACATCGGGAACTGGCGCCCGATCGCGATGGGTGATACGACCGCGAAATTGTTTGCCTCGCTCATCGCCGACCGACTCACTACGTGGGCGGTCGTTAATCAGCGCATAAGCCCGTCGCAAAAGGGTTTTCTCCCGTACGAGGGGTGCTTTGAGCACAACTTTGTGCTGGGCGAGATCCTGCGCGACGCAAAGACTCGGCGCAAAGAAGTGGTGGTCGCGTGGCTGGATCTGTCCAATGCATTTGGATCTGTCCCTCACGCGTCCATTCACGAGGCATTAGATCGCCACAGCGTTCCTCTGCCGATAAGAAACCTCGTAAAGTCATCGTACGAGGGCGTCTCCACTAGCGTCAAGACCGCTGGAGCCATAACCGACCCCGTTCGCATCCTTTCGGGTGTCAGGCAGGGGTGCCCCCTCAGCCCGATAGTGTTCAACCTTGCCCTGGAGCCTGTAGTGCGTGCAGTGCAGGCGACCGGGCGGGGGTACACGCTGTCGGGCCAGACGTATAACAACTTGTTTTACGCAGACGACGGGGCACTCGTGTCTGACTCGCCCGACGGGATGCGACTTTTATTAAGATCTGCCGAGGATGCGGCCGCGGCTGTCGGACTCCGCTTTAACCCGTCCAAGAGTGCAACCTTGCACCTGAAAGGCGCGGCGACGGCGAGGGTCCAAGACACGCGCTTTTCCATCCAAGGGTCGGAGATGCGCTCCATGCGAGAAGGCGAGGCGTACGAACATCTAGGCGTGCCCACCGGCTTCCAGGTGCGACAAACACCCGATTCGTCGATCGACGGGCTCGTCGGGGATCTCCGAAAATTAGATCAGTCGCTTCTTGCGCCCTGGCAGAAGCTCGAGGTCGCGGCAACGTTTATCTTGCCGCGACTGGACTTCTGCTTGCAGGGATCGCACGTGGAAAAAGGCCCGTTGAGTGAGGCAGACAAGGTGGTCAAGAAGCTCGCCAAGGGGTGGATGCACCTGCCACAGCGGGCCAGCGCAGAGGTCGTCTTTCTGCCGCCCAACATGGGCGGTGGGGGGATCCTCCCGCTGGCTGACATGGCCGACCTCTACGCGATAGCACACGCCTTCAAGCTCTTGAGCTCGAAGGACGCTGCCGTGGCGAGGCTGGCCCGGTCGTCGCTGGAGTGCGTGGCTGCTAAGCGTCTTGGCAGAATAGCAGCCGAACAAGACCTGGCCGACTACTTGTCCGGAGTCGTCGATGGCGACTTCGCACGCCCCTCTACGGGCACGGCCTCACTGTGGTCCCACGCGAGAAATGCGGCGCGGAGATCGTCGGCTGCGCTCGGATTGAGATGGGTTTGGTGCGCGGAGCGCCAGGAACTCGGTGTGGAGTGTCGCGGCCCGTCGGGCAACACCATCACCGTGACGCCGCAGGCAAGAGGCCAAGTGGTGCGGCGCTTGCGATCTGCACTGGTGGCTCACTACAGGGAGCGTCTCTTAGCCAAAAAAGATCAAGGCAAAGTATACGAGGTGACGTCGCGTAGCAGGGTGGGTAACCACTTTCTGCGCAACGGCAGTTTTACGCGCTTCGCAGAGTGGCGCTTTATCCACCGGGCTCGCCTCGACGTTTTGCCGCTTAACGCGACAAAGCGCTGGCAGACTGGTGGTGACAAGCGCTGCCGAAAATGCGGAGCTCACCTAGAGACGCTTCCTCATGTGATTCAGCACTGCCGGTCTAACTTCGTCGCTATCACTAAGCGTCACGATGGTGTGTTGGACCGGCTGGTCAAGGCCCTGAAGATCCCTGGGACCGTGTCGGTAAACCGGACAGTCGATGGCGTCGACCTGGAGTGGGCGCAGCTACGACCGGACCTAGTCGTTCGCGACGAAGTCCGGAAGAAAATAGTCATTGTTGACGTGGCCGTGCCGTTCGAGAATCGTGGTGTGGCTCTGGAGGAGGTGAGAAGTGAAAAGCTCGCCAAGTACCAGGGTCTAGCTGCGTGCCTCGAAAGGCAGGGGTACGACGTCAAGCTGATGCCCTTCCTTGTCGGAGCACTCGGCGGATGGGATGCCGGCAACGAGCGGGTCATCCGCCTTCTCGGAATTAACCGTCGCTACGCGGTTATGATGAGACGGCTGATGATCAGCGATACCATCAGATGGTCAAGGAATGTTTACGTGGAGCACGTGTCTGGGGCTCGGCAGTACTAGAGTCACGCGCGGGTATATTTTCGTTTTTTCTTTGTATGTAGAATCATTGCCCTGCCTGGCCCCGACACTGGCGTGGAAAATGTAGCCGGGTTCTCCACACCCAATTCGTATCTATACCTCAATATTGTATTTTTTTATATTTATGCATTATGACCAAAATTGTTATTGTTTTATTAGTTTCGATGACGGTTGTAATTAAATATATGCTCGACGTTTAATGTAAAAAGAAAAATGTGTACTTTGACTTATCCTGAGTCAACTCTGTGATATTAATTTTATGTAACTTTTTTGACTCGTCCGTATATATTAAACCTATAGCTGTAACGTCTAATTACGATTATGACGCTAAAGGAATATTACAACATATATATATTTTCTATGTGTACGTGGAGCACGTGTCTGGGGCTCGGCAGTACTAGAGTCACGCGCGGGTACATTTTCGTTTCTTTTCTCCTTATTGTATGTAGAATCATTGCCCTGCCTGGCCCCGACACTGGCGTGGAAAATGTAGCCGGGTTCTCCACACCCAAAAAATTATTTCTTCTTCTATTGTAAATAGCACATGTGCAATTCTATTTATATATATATATATTTTTATATTGTGACTGTTATTATAACTAAATATATTTTGTAATGACAGCTATAATTTTTATACATGCTTTGTTAAGAAAAAACAACGGACTCAAACTATGTGATAGTAGCTTTAAGAAAATTCTCATTGACTACATTGTATAAATTAATTTTAAGCTGTAACGTCTAATTGTTCTTATGACGCTAAAAAAAAAAATTTTATAATATAGATATATTTCAATGTAAAATTATGTACCTCCCCCTCGGGGGAGGCAGTTACTTAATTATACTTATAAAACTACTAAGTAGTAAGTACTTATAAAAATTTGATTTCAGGTAGTTTCAATTTTTAACTAATGATATTTTAGTTGTTTTTCAAATGTAAATTAATTTTAATTAATTTAAAAATTTTTTTTTGATTTCCGACTAATCGCACGATTTGGATGTTTTTAGTACTTTTGTTCCAACCCTCACCTTTTCTGTTTTAATCTGAAGCAACACAAACCGCGCGCGCTTGAGCATTGTCGTTTTATGACCTAATTAAGCCTAGTTTATGACTTAATTAAGACAGTTACTTTTTAAAAAATTGATAAATTTGATCGAATGAAGCATAAATTGTTCAAGGTGTATCGTTCGTTACTACCATAGGGACTTGAAGGAAATTAAAAATGTATAAACGTTTTATTTTTAATACATATTTATTTCGTTGTGATCGATTAAAAATTAATTATACCCTCGATCGGACTCAATCATAAAAATGAACTTTTAATAACTATTAAAGTATGAACGAAACATCGAATGTTTATTGCACTATTCAAAGATTGCTAATGTTCCTCGACTTCAACATCAATGTCAAAAAAATGTACTTTCCACATTGTGTCTATATACAAATTCGTCTGTACATCAGTATAAAAACCATACTTTCACCATAAAAAATATACATTTTTTTCCCTACGTACAAAAACTCTTTTTAATTTTATCCCTCTTACGAGTGTTTTAATTTTGGGAGCGAATATCACAGTCGTCAGCTATACGTAATTGATTTTTTTTCACCTTAAAAGCGACAATGTATGGTAATTAAAGAACGATAAAGTTACGGCCGCGGTTCGTTGTCTCTCGACTCTCGCCGGCTCATGGTCATGGGCGTGCTGAACACTGCGTCGTCTTCGCTCGGCTGTCTCAGATCGTCGTCAAACAGCATCGCCGCCATCGATCTCCTCCTCTTGGCCAGCTGGCCGAGACGGTCCTGGCTCGTCGCCGTTCTCTTGGCCAGATACGTGTCCAGTACCTTGATGCTCTCGTACAGATTGTCGAGGTCGCAGCTCGCGTAGTTCTTCTTCAGGCATGTCGACGACGACGACGACGACGGGACTCGATCCAATATATTCGTTGTCTCGTCGGCTTGATTCTTATCATCGACCGCGAAAAATAATTGCCGTCGTTGTCTCTGGGCCTGCGTGACGGCCGATACGTTCGGGCTCGTCAGAGTCCTCGTCATCGTCGTCGTCGTAGGATCCACCTCCGGCTCGTGGTCGATCGTTTTGCTAGCGCCGACGGAGCGCAGCAGAGCTCTCGCTCTTTTTAGGCTGGCGCAACCGCAGGCGCCTTCGCACAGGCAACCCTCGACACGGCTAGCGTCTACGTTTGCCGGCTGTGGGGGGCCCCGGCCTCTTCTGACCGGCGCCTCGATCCGCGTGTCGACGTCCGCACTGCAGCAGGTGTCGGCGCATTCGGTGCTCGTGCATGCTGAGGCAGCGCTCGATCTCGGCAGCTGGGGAGCAGCACAAGCATCAGCCGGCGCTGCGGGCGATGATGATGATGATGCATTATACGCACCCAGGACGTTCTCCGATGTCTCGATTCGTTGCTGTTGCTGGAGCAGGTCATCGTCGTCGTTTTGCGTGAGACGCTCGGTCGAGGCTTCTCGCGAGGCGGCCGGCAGCGAGACCGACGAGTTTCGCCGCTCGAGTCGATGCCGACAGGTGCCTCGGCAATTCGCCTCGCTTCTCGACGAAGGTGACGACGACGCCACGTGACTGCTCAATCCACCTATACGAGACAAGAGAGACAATTTTGAAGGATAGAAGTCGAGCTATTATCGTTCTTTCAAGAAAATACCCTTACTCGGCCCGGGCTGTGGATTATCATCCGATCGGAAAATAGGCGAAGCAGGTTTCGGCGGAGTTACGTAAGGAGGTGGCGGACTCTCCGAGCCAGCAGGTAGTATAGCCGTGGTCGAGCTCGAAGACGACGCGGACTGCGGGGCGTCGCTGCCGAGATTCCCATTGGACGGACCCTCGTACGCGTTGATCGTCAGATGCGACTCAAACTCGCATCTTTGGATATAACAACCAACGATTCAATTCGTCTCGTTATTTTTTTTAATCTTGTATAAATTATACGGACACTCACGAGCATTGACTAGGCACGCTCCGACTTCTCCGGCCGCCGCCGGCGCTCGGCGTTCTTCGGGCTCGTTTCCGGCGAGCAGCGGCCGCCGCCGCCGTCTCGTTCTCCATGCCGAGCTTGATGACCTCGTCGTAATTGGGCGGCGCCTCGTAGACCGGCGGCTCGTCCGCGTTCACGGACATCTCGTCGATGCGCGCCCCATCTGCAAGGTCTAAAGCTGTCGAGTATGCCCGCGATCACGTGGCAAAAAAGGCGATTCAAAACTGGATGTACAATGAGCCGATGATATAGGGTGCGTGTATGTGTGTGTATTTTTGTGCGGATACCGCGCCTCGTTGCCTCGTTTTGGTGTGTGTGACGTTGTGATTCAAATATATAACAAGCATTACCCAGGAGCTCGCTGATGGTCCTTAGTCTGGACTGGAGCTCCCGCTGCTGGCGAGCCCTCGAGCCAATGCGATAGAGCATGATTATCAGGGTGGATATCATGATGATGAGGCCGAGGCTGCTTATGACGAAGACCATGGTGGCGGTCTTGAGGTCGGGATAGCGGTCGATCTTCGGGAAGTAGTAGTTGGCCTTGCTCTGGTGCCATTTTTGATCCTTTATCGTCATGTCCATGTCTGCGATACATCAATTTTCGACGTAGTTCATAGCTCGATTGCAAAGGCGGAATGAAAAATTGGCTGGACAATTACCGTGCATACAGGTGGCTGGCTCGTCGCTACTGTCGCCGCAGTGATCGAAGCCGTCGCAGTTCAGCTGGCTCGAGATGCAGCGATGATTCTGGCACAAGAAATCCGAACCGGCGAAGCAATCTGAATATAATCGAGCGATCAATTTATCTTATTTCACGAAAAGTATACGAATGAATAAAAAGTAAAGTGTCTCACGCGTACCGATGTAGCTGAAGGCGGCGTAGGCGATGGCTAGTCGAGAATTGGGCCCGAAGCTGCCACGTAGACTCACGTGAAAGCCGTTCGACACGGGCGCCAGGTGCTCCCTCAATTTGGGCGGCTGCAGTTGGCTGACCGGATGTCGCAGCACCTCCAGCGGCATCAACGCCGACGTCGGGCCTTGTTTGATGATCAACTCGGTGTTACCAGCTTTTTACAAATAACAAATTCATATATCTCAGTCTTTGCGATTGTTCATATAATCGTTATATGCGAATCGAGCGACTGACCCATTTCCGCGAACGAGATGACCTTCACGTACATGTGGGTCTTTGTGTGGAGAAAATTCTTCGGCGGCTTGATCAGCCAGACGCAGTCGTAGGTCCTCACGCCCTCGTCGCCCACCATGTCCATCATGGTGATGGTGCCTCCCAGATTCTCGACGTAGCCGCCGCAATCCGTGACGGGCTGGACAGTGGCGAGGCCGCCCGCCGCCGCCGGGTCGGTGAAGACGAACGAGTAGAAGGCCTTGTAGCCGAGGCCGGTGCCGCCATTGGCGTAGAAGCGCACGAGCAGCGACGGGCCCGTGGACACGATGATGGGCGGCCTGAAGCGCGCCCCGCTGCTCACGTCCAGACGCTGGCCGTTCCAGTCATAGAACTGTGGAGGGGATCAGAGGGAAATCGAATGAAAATTCCTGGTTTTTCAGAAAATATAATTTTTCCGCGATTTCCCAGAGTTTTTTCGACGGTTTCCTTATGAAAGAAAACAAGTCTTTGATACTTTATACAACCCATTTAAATAACATACGAAAAATCGATACCAATACCCAGAAGCGGAGGTCTATTCCGAGAAAAACTCAGTTTAGAGAAGAAAAAGTTCGATCAATCATAATTTTCCATACAGCTGAATACATACTTGTCGAAAAATGAAAGTAATTACTAATCGATTATAACGCCTCGCTTCTTTTGTATCTAGATTTCAAGTTTTCCATTTGAATTTAAGTACACATAATAAAAAAATTAGTTTTTTCAACCTATTCCTGTTTTCCTTTATTGTTACATAATCATTTATTTATTACTATGCTTTTTAACTATTCAGTCTTAAATTAATTAGCAATTTTCTTCATTATTACAATTTTATTTGATTATTTTATTTAATTATAGTAATTATTTACATATTAATCATTAATTATTTGATTGATTCATAATTGTGTCTGCTATCTCAACGTGAGATACTTCATTAATATTCTTTCAATTGAAGTTTCTATTAAATCATTGACTCTGAATAGTCGTCTTCATATCAAAGGTGATTCAAATAGATAGCACTTAACGTGTTTGGTTGCCTATGTGCAGGCTCCGCTATAAAACTTGAGTAGTTTTATGAGCAAAGATCTCAGATTTTTGAAAAAATTTACAGTTTAAAGCCTTAATAGTTATGTCTTTGAGATTCGCGCTCTTCAATTGAAACGATCCTACCTGTTTATTTCAGTTTCTTATTCATTCAACCGGTACGACTCGGGGTCAATTAAAGCATTGTAAGCACTGTTTTCAAACATTAAATGATCAAACATTTAAAAACGAAAGATTTCAAAAAATTAATAATTCACCGCAATTTTGCACAAATATCCCGTTTAAAGAGCAGCCAAAAAATACAAATTCCTCTCAATGAATATCACAAAAAAAACTTTAATTATAATTTTTCCCCAACGAACTCTATCCCAAATGAAAATTATTTCAATGCAATAAAAAAATAGTAATTTTCAATGAGAATTTTAGAAGTCATTGTTATCGCTGCCATTTTGGGATTAATTGTTTTCTTCAACATCAGCATATTGAGAAAATAATGAATTAAGATACATAAAATCTGAAAATGTACGTCGCTCCATATTCAATATTGTTTATGCTAGTTTATTTTATTAATATGATCATACAATCATTTTTCATTCGAATAAACCTCAATGTATTTTTAAAACGACTGTATTTCAGTGTAGCATATAAATTTCTGGATTGAAAAGAGTGTTAAAAAAGTACAAACGCTTATTCCAAACAAAAGTATATATTTTTTTTTTAATTCATATAAATTATAACCTTTTGTATATGCATTACCCACTTTACACGATAATGTTAAATAATTAATTTTTTTTTTTACTTGTTAATAACAACTATCTTAAATATAAAATTATGATAAATATGTCAATCGGACTAAGATCTATGATTTATAACTGCTTCAAAAACAGGTACTAAATTTACAGTGTCTAAAAAATGGATGATTTGATCACAACATAAATCGGGTAAAATATCATGAGTTAAAAGTTTAATCGGGTTAGAAGTCACTTGTGTTCAGTCTCCTTACTAAAGCTTCGTTGATGTATCCTTCTATTATTCATCCTATTTTTCCAAAAACGTCAAAGTCTTGTATGAAACAAATTGACTCAATATTATTTAAGTATTTTGTTGATTCATAATCACATTTTATCAATAAGTTGCAAGTTTCATTTGGACCAGAAGTGAAAAGTTCCAGAATTGAAATCTCTCTATGTCCATTATATGGACATTGTCTCTATGTCTATGTCTATTGTCTCTATTTTCTTTATATCGTTCATCAGTTATTAGCTTCTCTCAAACAAGTGTCTTCAACTTTGTCCTGCAAAGTTTGAATCTGATAGTATTAACAACAGCCCCATGTTCCACAAGAAATTTGGCTATGCGGTAATTGCAGTGTGTCCATCCATCTCGATCTTTGACATTGACATCCAATTCATGTTTTAAAAGTATTTTGATATACTGATACACGTATTCCCATACGTTTGCCAATGCCTCCTGATCGTTGGCATGATAATAATATTAATATTGCGCAAAATAAATCTGCCAAATACTTTTACATGTTTGCAAACGCCACTGTTTTTCAGTAGCAATCGAATAGCTTTCAGACGTAATCTTAATTCGCTAACCAAACAATCATTCGGCGCAATTAAGTATTGTATCGGACTGGCACCGAAAATATCTTCGATATTTACGTCGGCGTTGTATTGGACAAGAAGTTGAATCATTTTCAAGTCGACCATTTTCAAGAATGGATTACTGGTTATTAAATGCAGAGCTGTCCTGTCGGTGTAATCAACAATATTCGGATTGGCGCCATTTTTCAAAAGTAGTTCAACAACTTCTGGATATTTATAAAATCCAGCAGCCTGATGAAGTACGGAATCACCATATTCATTCTGAATATTTACATCAACTCCACATTTTAACAACAATTCCACTGCTATTACAATGTATGGATTCTTTTCCTTCCAAAGGAGACTGTGTAATATTGTATTACCATGGGTGTCGACATGTGTAACGTCGGCTCCATTTTCCAATAATAATCTAAAAACTTCCAAGCGTAACTCGTAACTTTCCGTATATTGAAATAGAGTCATTAAAGGACTGTAGCCTTTTATACTTCGAATATTAACATCCGCGTTGTATTGGATGAGAAGTTTAATCATTTTCACGTGAACCTTTTTAATATGATCTAATGTACAAATGAAATTTAGAGCTGTCATGCCCTTATTATTAACAATATTTCGGTCGGCGCCATTTTTCAAAAGTAGTTCAACCACTTTAAGACTCTCACAAAATCCAACAGCCAGATGAAGTGCGGAATAACCATTTTTTTTCTGAATATTTACATCAACTCCACTTTTTAACAATAATTTCACTACTTCTACAATACTTGGATTATTTGATTTCAAAAGGATCAAGTGTAGTATTGTATCACCATCGTTATTGACAAGTGTCACATCGGCTCCGTTTTTCAGTAATAAGTGAAATATTTTAAAACATAACTTGTAATCTTTCGCATTATTGTATAAAATCATTATAGGACTGAAGCCATACTTATTTTGGATATTAACATTAGCTTTGTATTGGATCAGAAGTTGAATCATTTTTAAATCAACATCTTTCAAACTAAATTTTGAACAAATGCAATTTAGAGCCGTCCAGCCATTTTCATCAATCATATTTGGATCGGCGCCATTTTTCAAAAGTAGTTCAACTACTTTGAGACTTTCATAAGATATAACGGCCCGATGAAGTGCGGAAAAACCATCTTTACTCTGAATATTTACTTTAACTCCCCTTTTTAACAACAAATCCACTGCTTCTAGAATATTTGGATTCTCTCGATTCCAAAGGATCAAGTGTAATATTGTATTACCATCGTTATTGACAAGTGTCACATCGGCTCCGTTTTTCAGTAATAAGAGAAATATTTTAAAACGTAACTTATAATCTTTCGCATTATTGTATAAAATCATTATAGGACTGAAGCCATTATCATTTGGAATATTTACATCAGCGTTGTAATGGATAAGAAGTTGAATAATTTTTAAATCAACATCTTTCAAAGAAGGTTGTGCACAAATGATATTCAGAGCTGTCCAGCCATTACCATAAATCTCATTCGGATTGGCACCATTTTTCAAAAGTAGTTCAATCACTTCTAGACTTTGATAGTCAACGGCACAATGAAGGGGAGAATCACTATATTCATCCTGAATATTTACATCAACTCCACATTTTAACAACAATTCCACTGCTATTACAATGTACGGATTCTTTGGACTCGAAAGGATAATATGTAATATTGTGTCACCATTGGGGTTGACAAGTGTTACGTCGGCTCCATTTTCCAATAATAATCTAAAAACTTCCAAGCGTAACTTGTAACTTCCCGTATATTGAAATAGAGTCATTAAAGGACTGTAGCCTTTTATACTTCGAATATTAACATCCGCGTTGTATTGGATGAGAAGTTTAATCATTTTCACGTGAACCTTTTTAATATGATCTAATGTACAAATGAAATTCAGAGCTGTCCAGCCATTGTTATTAACTGCATTTGGTTCAGCTCCATTTTTCAAAAGTAGTTCAACCACTTTAAGACTTTCACAAAATCCAACAGCCAGATGAAGTGCGGAATTACCATTTTTATTCTGAATATTTACATTAACTCCACTTTTTAACAATAATTCCACTACTTCTACAATATTTGGATTATTTGCATTCAAAAGGATCAAGTGTAGTATTGTATTACCATCGTTATTGACAAGTGTCACATCGGCTCCGTTTTTCAGTAATAAGTGAAATATTTTAAAACGTAACTTATAATCTTTCGCATTATTGTATAAAATCATTATTGGACTGAAGCCATACTTATTTTGGATATTAACATCAGCTTTGTATTGGATAAGCAGTTGAATCATTTTTAAATCAACATCTTTCAAAGAAGGTTGTGCACAAATGTTATTCAGAGCTGTCCAGCCATTGTTATTAACTGCATTTGGTTCAGCTACATTTTTCAAAAGAAGCTCAACCACTTCTAGTTTTTTGTAATATTTAACGGCATAATAAAGGGCAGAATCACCATCTTCATTATGAATATTTACATCAACTCCTTTTTTTAACAACAATTCCACTGCTTCTACAATATTTGGATTCTTTTCATTACAAAGGATTATGTGCAGTATTGTATCACCATCGCGATCGACATTTGTAACGTCGGCTCCATTTTCCAATAATAAAGTAAAAACTTCCCAGCGTAACTTGTAACTTTTCGCAGTATAGTATAAAGTCATTATAGGACTGACGCCATCCTCATTCGGAATATTAACATCAGCCTTGTATTGGATGAGAAGTTCAATCATTTTAAAATGAACATCTTTGAAACTAGATATTGTACAAATGCAATTCAGAGCTGTCCAGCCATCATTATCAACTGCATTTGGTTCAGCTCCATTTTTCAAAAGTAGTTCAATCACTTCTAGACTTTGATAGTCAACGGCACAATGAAGGGGAGAATCACTATATTTATCCTGAATATTTACATCAACTCCACTTTTTAACAACAATTCCACTGCTTCTTCGATATATGGATTCTTTTCCTTCCAAAGGAGATAGTGTAATATTGTATTACCGTAGGTGTCAACATGTGTAACGTCGGCTCCATTTTCTAGTAGTAACTTAAAAATTTCTAAGCGTAATTTACAGTTTCTCTCGTAGCGATATAAGTTAGTCGCAGGACTGTAGCCAAACGCATTTTTGATATTAACGTCGGCTTTATACTGAACAAGAAGTTGAATCATTTTATAGTGGATCCTCATCAACTTATCTTGATTACATATACAATAAAGAGCTGTCTGGCCCTTGCAATTAACAGTATTCGGATCAGCACCATTTTTCAATAATGATTCCATCAAATCTAAATCTCTTGATTCAACGGCATCATGTAGGGATTTTTTTGCACTATTATTGAATAGAAACATTGTACACTGCTATCGTTTTTAAGAAGAAACACTTTAATGAATTATTAGCACTGATCTGTTTCTAATACTGCTGAAAACTGTGATTTAATTTCACTATTTAATGAACTTTTGTTTTATTTATCAGACCGTCTACTCGTTTTGTGTATACTTTGTTGATTTCGAAAGTTTCCTTATTTATATCATCAGACTGTTGTTACTTTATTATTGGGCGTACGCGTCGCTTGTATTTGAATATCAAATGAGTTTTGTATTGGTAATACAATTCGTTGTGTGTGATGGTTCGTTGAAATATTTGAAATAGTAATCCAATGGTAGGGATGACGTATTTTCTATCGTTAACGTTGTCGATGGCATGAAATTATGTGTAAATAAACAGTCATTTACCTTTTTTCTGTTTCATAGTTTTTTGATACGTATATTATTCAAGCAAGCTGTGTTTTATTCAGTGCTTCAACCCACCAGAGCGAGCAAAGCACAGCGAGTCTAGCATGGTAGCTTGAATTTAATTTTATAATACTCTCAAATTATTCATATAATTTCAGAGTTAGCAATTTTTTTTAAAATAATTTTTAATTACGAAATAATGAAAAATAAAAAGAATAGTTTCCATGTATCACTAAAGCGTGCACAATTTTGAATGATATGAAATATTACACGTTGATTGGGTTATTTATGCAGTCAAAAAAAATGTGAAAAAGTCGATTCGCTTCGTTTACTTGAGTAATTACTCAAAAATATAAACCTTACCTCCATCACCGAGACGGCGGCGACCTGAAAGTCGCTGAAGAGCACGCGCACCCGACAGACCGGCGCCTCCGTGGGACAGCTGATGATGTACTCGATGCCCATGTCGCGCGGATAGCGCGACGGAAAGAAGGGCGAGGCGAGGGTCCCGCCGCCGGTGTTGTTCATCGACTTGGCGATGTCGTTCATCGAGTTGGAGCCCGTCAGTATCAGTCGATTTCCTGCAAACGGCGTTTTTTGTAATAATACTTCATATCGGAGTTGATATTTTGCATAGGTACTTACTTTCGGCCGTGTACTCGAGGGAGAAGGCGTGACTGTGCGATTGGCTGTAGAGCAGGGCTATGGACAGTGTCCGAGTGTTGGATCGGTGCGCCATGGGCGCGTAATGACCGCAAAAGGGTGTACCCGACACGTCCTCGTACGGTGGCTCCGATATCCACACGTAGTCGCATCTACAAAAAGTAACACGTTTTCAATTTCTCGATTTGTTTCAATTGGTTTCGTGTATTCGCGCAACAATTAATTAATAATAATAATAATTAAACCTGCAGGGACTGTCGACTGTGGCGCCTCCGTCGCCGCAGTGATGCTGAAGATTGATGCTCCTGAAGACGACGCTGATGACGCACGACGGACAGGTGACCAGCTCGAGGCTGCACTGATCGTGGCTGCTGTTGGTCGTCGCGTACAGCGGTCTGCCACCATTATTATTATTGCCACTCGCGCCGCCGCTGTCCTGCTGCAGCTGGGGCGAGTTCTTGACGAGGCTGACGTTGTCGGCGCGCAGCACTCCGCGCTCGCCCAGCTCCACGTAGAGGCGGCGGCCGTTGTGCGGGCCGCAGATGTCCTCGTTGCGGACCAGCTGCTGGCCCGAGCTCAGGACGATCGGTAGCAGCAGTAGCAACGCTGCAAATTATTTACAGGGATATATTTACTGCACTCGATTTGTCGCGAGACCACATACTCACCATAATATAGAAATATCATCGTTGGTTGCGTCGTTGGGCAGTAGCAACAGCTGCAGCATCGGCTGCACTACCGGCAGAACTGATTGTTTGTTAAAAAAAAAAGAAGAAAGAAACCCGTCATTGGTTTGACTTAGGCGTTAGGGCTAACTTCGTTAGGGCTGCTGCTGCTGCTCGGGATAAAGCTGCACATTTACGGTATCACTGCTGCTGCTGCTGCAACTGCTACTGTTGGGTGACGTAACGAGCGACGAACTATTTCGCGATTCTTCGTCTTCGTCGCGAAGTCGAAGTTTTTCGAGTGGACAATAAAAAATAAATGAATGGATGTACGATCATCGATCATCGTAATCATATTGATTGATCGCTCGTTGCTGAATTTCGAATCACTAGATATATATTCCAGTGGATTAAAAAAAATGTTTTTTTTTTTTTTGGCATTCGATTAACACGTTTCGGAATTATAATGAGGAATTTGTGGTTGGTGTCTCGACCATTCTCACGTGTCGCGTGAATTAATTGATATGAAAATAGCGTATTCGCGTTGGAGACATTTTTAAAAACGATAAAGAAAGGTTTATTTTTTTTGGATTTCAATTATTCATAAACGACCCGTGCTTGAATTTTTATTATTTTGTGAATATTATTTTGAAATTAATATTTCGATAGAATCGCACAATTCGAGTACTGATCATCTCGGTAGCTGAGCTTACTTTGGGTAATAAATTCAATCTGTCTTGACGTATTACATAAGTTCGTCTAGATTGATATCGCGTTTATAATTTCTCGAATAAGGTGTACATCGAATTATTTGGAGTATGTTTTTTTGTTAACTCATTTTGTAATAAATTACGAATTATGATTCCAAAAATCTTTTCGTGCAATTGCGAAAAATACTTCACTTACAAAAGATAATAGCCATGACAAAGAGTATATCTCGCTCGTATGTAAGTTTGTTTCCAGATGATTGCCGCACCGATCCAGCGATATATATGTTACATAAAAGTATTTTAAAAATGACCTCGAACTTCCGGTTAGAAATATTTCTAACTATATCAGCTGTTACTTAATGCGTCTCTCGCGAGAGTGTCCGTTAAAAATAGACCCTGAGCGCGATTTTTTAGTCTTCGAGATTTCTTACCTATTGAAAAACGCAAGTGTAATGCTCGCATCGATCACAACTGTAGTTGGTCACTGTGTTAAGTGCACTCGAATCTATTTCAAAAGCCAAATGGTATTGTATTCAGGGAAAACCAATAGAACTTAAGTTAATGAATTCTACAGTGATTGCGTGTCTCGTTTATAACCGTACTTTGAAAGAAAAAATTTGTTTTCTGTAAATTAATTTTTCTCGGAAGCTGTGCGTACGATATCTTCTTCTCGCTGTTGACAAAAGAAGATAAATTAAAAAACTGCAAGACAAAATATTAAAAAAAAGCCGATGACAGAATCGTTGCGGCTTATGTGCACTAGTTGACGTATACAAGTGTATTACGCATAGGTTGACGCACATACTTGTACATAATTATTTTTTGGACTAGACGCAAACAAAAAAAGTCGATGCAAATTGATAAATTTAGAAAAATTCTTGACATAACTTGCAAAGTATTTTTTTCGTTTAAAAATCCCTATTTGCGCTCGAATTATTTTTAGAAAATTAATCTTCGAAGCAAAGCATACAACTGTATTTTATAAAATTTACGTTATAAATTAGTTTCAATGAAATAGTTTTCATTTCAATAACATTGCATTATGTTCAAGGAATTGGGGTATAATTATAACATCTGTAAATTGTTTTGCCTTTTTTTCTAAAAACATTTATTTGAACTACGTGACGTTAACAGATGAATTGCTAGCTGTATATTATAGTAAATGTACTCGTCATAAAATCTTGATTCACACGATTAAAACAACAAATGGGTAACGAAAAAAAAAAAAATACTATCATCAACGAACGAGCGAAGATCCGCGAGGATCTTATCTCGCGTCGAGATCGGATGAATAAAAAAAAAAACAAAAATTGATGACTATTGTGCGATGTGACATTGTTATTATCATTTATACTATCAGGCTGTAAAAAGTTTGACATCTTTAAAAATTGGAGACGGAGCAATGAAAAAAATATACAACGCGTACAGAACATATACACAGGTACATACACGAACGAGACGACGACGAAGGCTCTTCTTGTATACCCATATACGCACACACTCGCATACAGAAAAGATCACATAATACACATAAATATATATATAGGCACGCATACATAATTATCAATCATGTACATACGCATGTATAAATTGCAAAAATTTATACTATCCATATAGGCGCTGTGTTTATTTCAATCGTAATATAATTGTTCATATTACACAAATATACTCGCGCGCACGCACATACAAACACACACACACACCCATTGACTCTTGGTTGCTTTCCTAATTTTAATTTTTTTTTTTTTTATCTCAAAATTTAAAAGGCACCAGGAGCCAGAGTAGTCGCGACGTTAGCCAACAAATCCTCGGTTCCGCAGTTATTGTCCACGCAGTCGTTGTAGTACTCTTGATTGATCAGACTCAGGAATTTAAAAGCCGCGGCCAGCAGCAGCGAGCCAGACAGATCGCCGAGCGCAGTCAGGTAGGGGATCGCAGAGTTGTCCGGGTCCACCTTGTACTTCCACATGATGTGGATCATCACGTGTGCCACGTACAGCAGCAGCGCAACCTGGTGAAAATAAAAAAAAAAATATTGAGTATCTCTGCTCTCTCGATTACATTATGCAAACCCCAACGGAAATTCATCCCCTCTAATTCTTGAAAATTCTTACAAATGTTCGGATTTCGTGCTATGATTTTTAAGATTTAATAAAACTTTATAAGAGTTTTAAATGATATAAATAAATTTTAAAAATTATGTGGTACCTGATATTTGGTTTCCGAAATATTCAGACGGGTAAGTCAATCCCTTATTTAATTTAGAAAAATGTTTACAAAGTGACAATAATTGTTATAAAGAGTTATTAAGTGTTGATAAAAGTTTTCATTATTTTTAAAAACGTTTTTTGATCGGTATCCACGCTCGACAAATGTCATGGTGAAAAAACTATACGAGCAACCATATGAAAAAAAAACGCTTAACACTGTTGCTAAAAAATTGAGTCTCCACAAGGTTTTATGAATTTTTAATAGTAGATTTTCTTACAAGGGGGAGAAATGAAACTTCCGCATGCACGTGATAATGGCGCCGAGGCGAAGCCGAGGCGTCATATCACGTGTATGAGGGTGTTTCATTTTTCACCCGTGTAAGAAATAGTATTTTTTTCCATCCCCGCGCAAAAGTTTTCATAAAATTATCCAAATAAATTCAAAATGAAAAAATAAATTCAAGATCTCAATGCACAGAAGGACTTGCATTTGTTTTTTCTTTCGCATCGAGGTCTTGATTTGCCGTCTGATTGTGCAAAAAACAAAGCGGTTATGGTTATTATTGACTTTTACATGAAATCAGTTACATGTGCTGCGAATCATTTTCCTTTACTTTTAGCATTGTGAGCGAAGCGAGTCATACTAAAATTTAAAATACGACTCTGTAATTAAGCTTCGAATTTTGATGCTCGCCCCGACATTAGCATCACGAGCGAAGCGAGTGATGCTGGTCGGGGGGGCGAGCATCAATAACATTAATATAAAAAACATTATTTTTATTTTGATTTGTGTGTAACAAGTTACACACAACATTCTTTTTCGTCCGTAGACATACCATCATGCGCGAATGATTTTTCAGAACTCTGCATAATTTTTACCACGTAATTAGTATAACGCCTCTACGTATTGATGTGTCTTCGAAAAGTTGTAGGCTAAGTAATGCGGGCGAAAAAATTATAAATATTACGTTGCTAGGCTGAGCTGGCCACAGCAACCACTGCATCTGTTGGACGCGCAGAAGTGGGCAAAAGTTCTTCTTTTTCTATGCCACGCGTACGGCGAAAGTAAATACTTTTGCCGGAAGGATGGAAAAAAAACTCTTATTAACTCTTTAAAATCATTCATCAGGTGTACGAAATCCGAACATTTGTAAAAAAATTTTTAAGACATTTTTAGACTTTATAAAACTTTCTCACGAGAAAAAAAGAGACTCACCTGTACGAGCGCCACAGTCAGATAAGAAGCCACGAAGTAGACGTGCACGGTCGACTTGCTCCACCTGAGATAATCGGCGAGGAACGAGAAGGCCACGTGTCCGGGCACGGCCATGCCCAGCAGCAGCCTCGCCGTCTTGGCGGTGGGCTGTCCGTGGAAGAGGGCCTTCCAGGGCGATACCCAGGTCTTGGCCCAGCCGGGCAGCGAGCCCAGAACGCTCGACTGATGCAGCATGCTGGAGATGCGCGATGCGTGCACCGACACGAGATTGCCACCGATGCCGTTGATGATGGGCGCGAACACGTCGAAGCCGTTCAGAGTGTTGACGGCTTTGTCGAGGATGAGGCCGCCGAGGCCGCTGATGAAGAGGGCCGAGATGACGGGCACCCAGCCGGACGTGAGCACGGGCTTGGTGTACTTGTTCTTGAGCACGATGCAGATCCAGATGGGCAGCAGGCCGAAGAACAGGACGATGATGGCGTAGAGTATCCAGACGTCGCTCGAGCGCTGATAGGTGTAGAGCTGGGAGGCCACGGCCGACAGTACGCTGAGCGAGACGACGTCGCCGATGGATGCGGCGAGCGGCGTGGCGAGATTGTCCGGATTCATCTTCATCTTGTAGGCGCCCATGATGACGATGATCATCGCCAGGTCGAGGATGAAGCACGAGCTCGCTGCTGTGCAGACGCTCGAAGCCATCACCAGGAGGAAGTGATCCCAGGAGTACTCGCCGTTCATCACGGCGGAGACGCCGGTGGCGAACATCGCCACGAGGGTGGCTGCTACGGTGGCCTGCACCTGGACCAGGGCGAGATTACCGATGATCATCTTGCCGATCTCGCGCGGGCTCTTCATGTTGCCGAGATTGGCCTGGGTGCTGAGTCGAGAGGCGAGGCACATGTCGAGATTGCCTTTGAGCCCCAGGAGGGCCGGGACCAGGATGAAGATCTGGGAGACCTCTCTGAACACTTCCCAATTCTGACGAAGAAAACAAAAATGTATCAGTTTCAGGGTACAGAGATTACCGATCTATATACTCTCTTGAAAATTGCGTTACCTTGACTTTGGCGAGGACGAGACCGGCGCCGATGGTGCCGAGGCCGGCGATGAAGAACGGCACGCATATCTGCACGAGGGTGAGATACCAGGGCTCGTCGGTGATGAGACGGCTGCGCTTCTTCTTGGGCGGCTTGACGATGCCGGCCTCGAGGGCGCACGGATTGCCCTTCTCGTCCAAGCTGTTGCTGTTGGCGTCGCTGCTGTCTGTGTCGTCAATAACGCAGATTTCAATACTACCGCATGATGCAAGATTTGCTGTTGTTGTTTTGTTTGTTTTTTTTATTTTTTAATCCCAAAAACAGACGAAAGAAAAAAGAACGCACAATTGAGTAAATGGCTGAGAGGAGCGTTATACAAGTAGGATGGAATGCAATTATGTATATAAGTCATGTCGTGTGTGCATTATTATTTTATTATTTATCTACGATCGAGTTCGCGACGCGATGATTTTATTGTATTGGCCTTTTATCGTTGCGGCGCGCAGCACGCGCGTTGCAATAAAGATTACTTGAACAAACTCGATGCACCGTGCACGCGGACGATGGAAAATTTAATCGAAATCAATGCGATCGTTCGAGAAATTGGAGCGAAATGTTTGCGGGGGTGTATTCAGTGTGAAAGGCGTGCGATAGAGATGTGTTAAATTTATCAATTAACAATGAAAAAAAAAATAACGAAACAAACAAAAATTATATCTACTGCTTAATAGATAATGAATGAATCCTCTACATGATTTTATACCGTTGACAGTGTGGGATGCATTGTAGTTTGTAATCTGCGCGCAGTGCATTGTAAACCGAGTTGTTTACGCCAACGCGCGTGTACGTGCATATTATGTGCATTAATCTAAGGCGGCGCACGATAAAACGATTTCTTTTTCGAGTCGTTCTCGGTGAATCACAGAACGTGTACTTCGATAATACCCCAGGATTCCCGGCGTATCATCCCAAGCGAAAGCGGATGATCGTCGATCGATGAAAGAAATTGCTTCAAAATGTGTACGTGGCTCTCACCTGCAACCTTTTTGACCACGTCGAGGTCCGGATTCGCCGCTTCCAAGGCTTTGGGATCTAGTGTAAGCCTCACGTCCTTCAACATAGGTGGTGTCTCCAATCCCGTACATTTCTCATCTTCCGTGAAACACGCGTCGTCTTGTTCATGTTTCATGGTGGATGTTGTGCTGCCGTCGGCTCTCAGTTGGTCTGCATCACACAGGGGGGGAAAAACACACGATTAGAACGATTTCCGAGAACACAACGTGCACAGGCGTGAAAATGACTCTTTGATCGTATGCAAACTACCGATTCAAACTAAATTAATTTGAAATTCGATCGAGAGCATAAGTAAGTGCGGACGATTCACTGAAACGACGAATTCCTCGGAAATAACTCGAGAGCACGGCACAAGAAACTTTTTGTCCTTTTTTTTTTTGGACTCACGTCGCATGCACCAGCGGCAGCGGTCGATTGGACATTCTGAGCATTTTTTTTTCGCTCGATAAACACGAGAGAGGCTGTAATATTGAAAGATCGAATCGGTGTCATAATCTCCGATCGATCGTTTACATTGCGCGCGTCAGCGCAGAGAGAGAGAGAGAGAGAGGTGCGAATGATTCGATACATGTATTTATATGAAGTGCGCGATATTCTCAAGCTCTCGATAGAAAAATTGGCATTAGCGCTCGACGAGTGTCAATATTAGAATTATTATGCCGAATTGTAAATATGTACCCGTTGACGACACGCGTGCAATACACACATCCGTTTATAGCCCCTACGACAGAGATTTACTAGGACCGCGCGCGAGGCGAGATTAAGCTCGAAACTACGCCGATGTGCCGGTGCGATGCAGGAAAAAAAAGAAGAAGAAGAAGAGGCGCATTGCACCGAGCGGCGACACGTCGTTCAGACAATACGTCATAGAAAATTCGAGAGATGATTTTGCAAATACGTGTGTGTTTGGTTCGCTGCGATCCGCGGATCCGATTGCGCAATGTACATACTGCTAGGTACATAATAAGCGCGCGCGCGCCTAGATAAGCGACATTTTTGCCTTTTGCGTTGCATTGTTTGAATGTATAATCGCGACGCGCGAGACACAGCACCCGAGAGAGATCCGATCCGGTAATTTGATTACAGAAATTGAGGAAAATTGCTTCGTGAAACAAAAAAAAAAAATAAGATCACGACGTCAATCGCGTGGGCGTCGATCCTTATCCTCGTTGTCTATACATCGTTTTACAACTATTTGCGCGTGGGCTGTTGAAGATCGTGACGTACCTTATGTATGTGCGTAGGCGGTAGAAGTAATCTAGCGCGAGTGAACCTGGGATGGAGGGATCCTTCTGTGGCAATTTGGACTCGGATGGTCCAATCTCCGTTAGTTTTACACGGCGACAGCTGCAAAAGTAAAACAAAAAAATGACATTAATGATCGAGGATCCATTATTGTAGATTCGTCTCGTGATACATTGATAATTATGCGAAAAAAAAATGCCTAGGCCTTACGATCGTCGTGTGTATTTTATCGTCCATTATTATTTCATCTTTTTTTTTTTTTTTTTGACGTAAATACGAGCAGAGAAGATTTCGCGCGTTGATACTTCACACGCCATGCTCAATTAAGGCGAACAAATAATAAAATTAGGATAATGCGGCTTTGACAATTATAAAAATTTTAAACCGCATATAAATCGACGCATATCTCGTCGTCGTTGTTTTTTTAGTTTTATATTGTTATTGCGCTATTGTGACAGCCGCGGAGAATAAAAATTCTCTCTCGGCTATTATACAAAGGCGCGACGACGATCGTCGTGATAAACGTGTCAATCGATACCAGATTTTACTACTTTGTTGTTCGGCACTGCCGTTGTATCTCTTTATCGTCATCTCTCTTCGATTAAACAATTTTTTTTTCTTCTTCTTTCTTTCAAAATTAATGGGCAAAATAACAATTAGTACAAATTGACGATTCGCGGCGAGCGGGATTATCTCGTTGACGAGAGGCTCTTTAAGCGCGCAAAGTATAATGATGTATTTCGTATATCGGAGAGAAAGAATCGCGTGATATACGTTCAACTTCTTTTTGTTCTTACTACAACAAACTACTACTACTGCTACGCGTCGGCACAATAGAAATATTACATAAAGTCGTCAGTGTCATTGCGCGGCGTCGGCGGCGGCATATACGTATATATGCGCGAAATTCAAAGGAACGTATCGCGTTTCCAGGGTCACGTGTAGTATACGCCGAATATGATTTAACCGCGTTATCGTAATATAAGCATGTATGTGTATAGTTAGTTTCGAAAACCGAAGTGAATGGACTGTACAGTCCAATGAACGCAGCGGAGGGATCGTTTTGCAAAAAATCTTTGGAACTGCTATCGGAATCTCTCGTGTATACGCCGGTTACGAGAAAATAATATAGCTCTCCGAACCAGATAGGCGTGCTAAATTTTCTAAACGACGTTTGTGTGTGTGAGTGCTCATAAAGACATTAAGACCCGCAATGGTAATAATAATTGTCTACGTATTAAATCGACAGTAAAATTGCACTCCAAGTTTTTATTGTTTCGGCCTGAGCCGCCCGCGAACGCGAACGCGAGGCATGGATTTCTCCGATTTTTATTTCGCTCATTCTAATGCCTCTCGCAGTGTATTAACGAGTATTCGCTTAGCGAGAATTCATAATTTATATATACACATGTAATACATAAAGAGCGAGCTCTTGTGCCAGTTCGCACACAACGATTTTTGCTTCTTTTTTTTTCTCTCTCTCCTAATCGTGATTCATTTTTTCGAGACACGCGATAAAAATTTCGTCGCAGAACTGATACATATCGTTCGTATAAATATTAATACACGAGTGTGTGTGAATAAGTATAAGTTCTTGTCCGAGCAAAAAGACGAAGAAGAAGAAAAAAAATTGTACAACTAGAGAGAGAGAGAGAGAGAGAGAGATAAAGAGCTTGCAACGGTTTTTGCAACTATATATTATATGCTGTTGTATAAAAGGCCGACGAAACGGCTAGACGCGACAAAGGTATGCCCGAATAAATTAAACACGCGGATTTGAAATATCACTAAAAATATAAAATCACGAAAAAATAAATAAAACACAAGCCTCGACCCCGGCTAGACCGTCTGTACACGAAAAATAAAAAAGAGTCGAAATATTTTTTGAATAAAAATACGTATATATATGCTGCCGGTCAGCAGCCACAGTAAAGGCAGTCGAAATTCTGTACACGCCGGTACATATACACCTCATTAGCATGCATATGCATGCGTACGGGCACCATGGGTTGGCTCCGCCCACACACCTCACAGCTTTCGAAGGTATATACATATACGCGCCGAGCACGTGCTTTTTTCGACGCGTCCGACTGTATGTGTGTACGGATGCATTGTTACGACGATACGATTGTACTTGCGATGGACACATGCGCACATGAAGTGACCGACGTACAGACGCACACCTAGGTTACAAATGTGTGTGTGTGTGTGTGTGAACATGTGCAAGTGGATCTTGACCTCACGAAATTTTTCACGTTCATCATCCATGCACCACGACACTTGATTTAATTTAATTCAATTTCATTCTTTTTTTCTACTTACTGTGGCGACACATTCCTACGGTAGATTTTCGCCAGGGTGATAAGCGGAGTAGGTTGAAATTCGTCCAGCCTAAAAAATTTCCGAAATGAACCTTGCACGGTGGCAAGCGATCTGAAGCTCGGATTAACGGAGTGAAAAAAATAAACTGCTCGCTCGAGGACAAGGGTGTCAATCAGAGACGACCCTTTCTTCACAAACACACAACTGCGATTCAACACTGGAACTTTTTTTTTTTGCTAAACGAGACTGTGATGCTGTCTCGCTTTGGGATCGGCCACAATACTGTATAAATTATTATATCGGTCAAAAATTGCGTGCGGACACACGAAGAAGAAGAAGAAGAAGAAGACACGGTCTCGATGGGACGGCGAACGATGTGCTACTGTCGAGAGATCCAAGTCGATGTATATATGTGGTATAGAGAGGCGACTGTGTGAGAGAGAGAGAGAGCGGCTATATGCTCACGCACGAGAGTATCAAGCGAGACTGATGAACGGCGGCTTATATCGATACGCGGGTCAGTATATGAATAGTTCTCTCTCTCTCTCTTTCTCGCTTCTGTGTGTATATACGTTCGAACGTGTGAGTGAGTGAGAGCGAGCGAGCTTGAGGCGAACCAATGCGCGCTTTAACCACGTGGGGCTTATCTGATTATTCGGATCTTCCGTCTGTACGAGTTTCCCCCCTTCTTCTCTCGACACTCTCTTTATTTCCTCTCTTGGTGTAGCGTCGCGCGCGAGGCGCGATCCCTCCTCCTTCGCGGAAATTTTCACTCGTTGCTGTGCGTCCGATGCTGTTGGAGATCCAGATGAACATTCAAATGGTACGGAGACCCGACGATTTGTTTTTGTCGTTAAACGAATGCGCATTAAAGCTTCACGCGAGCTAATGAATCAATTATAATCAATATATCGATCGATATCGAGAAATAGCCTTAATGGCGTTCCGATGAACTCGTTAAGTACGTTAATGGGGTCTTTCTGGGCGTTCGGCCAAATTATAAGATGCAGCATTTATCTCTCTCTCTAAATTAGAACCGTAGCGAGAAGAAAACGCCTCGAAAACTTCAAACGATCGACTCGCGTACGAAAAATCATGCGCATATATTTACAAAATGAATGGGTGCAGTAAAAACCCATCGAATATATAAACACGAGGCGCGTAACGGAGTTCGAGTTATACACACGCTCGTATCAATAAACAGTGTACTCGTGACGATAAGAAGTGGATTATACGTCACGCTAATAATATAAGTGTGCGACGATCGCCTCGACTAGGGGAAATTTAATGATTTAATAACTATCGAGCACCTGAAGCTCGTCGCGCGCCTATCCGAATAATAATAAGTTACGTCAAAAAAATTCTACATCTCACCTGATTTCATTCATTGTCATCGAGACGTCGTACGCCCATTCCATTATACGTAGGACGTCCCACAGGTCTGATGCACATTTTCATTTTTTCCCGCTGCTGCTGCACTTTGTCTTTGGAATTCTCTCCTCCTCTTTGCTGCTGCTGCTGCTGCTGCTGCTCTTGGAAAACGATTTTTTTCGACGTTCGTTGATACGTATCAAACACGCCGACGTGTCGTGTGCAGCTAGCGGTTAATAGTAATTTTCATCCGTCAATGAGCTGCCCGCGAGTCACACACACACACCAGCTGCTGCTGCTGCTGTTGATGTCGTTGTTTCGGTCGCAGATACGTAATTGGACTCGTTTTTTCATTTTTTTTTCCTTGTTTCTATTCGTTGCTGATAAAAAAATTATTATTTTAATTTAAGCCTCCCGAGAAAAATTGGGGCAATTCGCGGGAAAAAGGATGATCGCGCGTGCGCGGAAAGAGAGAATTTTCCTCGTCAGCATTTTTGAATCGATGAATCGAGAGATGGCACGTGATTTATAATACGAAAATCGACGTTTCTCTTCAATGGTGTTGCACGAAAAGCACACATTTGACATTTATGTGATAATACAGAAATGTCTAGAATCGAAATTTTGTTTTTGTTTGATTAAAAATTTTCCATTAATTGTTTAACAGGCAATTAAAAGGTCTGTAAAAACAGTGCGCACCGCACTCGAGCGCCCGATTGTAGATGCGTTCGCGAGAGCTGTTTGTTTATTTACATTGAATCGATGTTTTTTCTTTTTCTTTTTTCTTTTTTTGTAACCCGATTAATGCGGATCAAAGTGTCTGTTTGCCAACGATAAGTTTGAAAAATCGGAAAGAGACTCGGAGTTTGTTGGCAGTTTAATTATTAGCACGTGCCTCGATCGCAATGTATAACACTGTTTTTTTTTTACTCAAAAGAGGCGATGATTTCATTGATGGATAATGTAATAAACCACAATAATTAATTTGACACGTTATTTCATGCAACATTGTGCGAGGTAATATTGCTGCTGCCAAATTTGAATCACCTTCTGTGCGCCACTGTAAACAATTTTTTAAGTACTTTTGAAAATTGTGAATTTTTATCTTCTTGTTTTTTGTTTTTGAGAGAAGAGTGGTCGATATCGGGTATTATTTTATGGAGACAATATTCAAATAAATCATCTTTTGGCAGCTGGATTTATAAGCTATTTTTTCAATATTAATAGGCTTGAAATTTGTCATTATTTTATTCGACACATAAAAGTATAACTGTCATGCGAATGACGTCTCTCTTTCAACTTAGGCATTGAAGAAAACTGCATACTACTGGCAAAAGTGAATTACTATAGGTACACGTGATTGAATTTTTTTATAATATTTTTCCATTTACTTTGCAATCTAAGTATAACTGATAAGTGTGCGCTGCCTCCGCGCGCTAGCTGCTTCATAGAAATTTCGTCGATCGTTCAGCCTCAGCAACTAATTCTTTTTTTTTTTTTTTTTTTAGCACAAAAATCAACACACAGAATTCATATATATCTAATCTAAATTTACGATTTTTATCTCGAAGCTGTATAGTTTTTTCGATAAATCTCTAATCTCCGCGGCGCATAAAAACTCTCGCCACGCGAGAGTGTAAAGGGCAACGCGACGCCGAGATTCACGGTCACTCAACCGATTTCGATTGGCTCGCATGCAACACCGAAAGGAAACTCGTCGTTGTCGTCGACACAATTGCTGGAATTCCATTAACAAATAATCCTTATCGACTCGCTGAATCTGTGCTCGCGCGCGCGGGGCAAGATAATCGCGGAACGTTCGAATAAGATTCGTATCTTTATGAATCTTTAGTCATAAAACGATTCGATTGAAAAGTGTAAACTGCGTATTATCAATCTATTCGTTCGTGCGTTTTATCGCTGACGTATATGCAAATATGTAGCGATCCCGACGATGGGTTTGCAGAACTTTCAAGAATTCGCAGATCGAGTCGCTGATGTTTAAAGAAATGCCTTGAATCTATATGTGCAACCGGAGCAAATGCATACAAACAGTGACATATCTGTGAAATATCCGTGAAATTTTTTTCCCCCTCTCTCTCGCAGCTGCTGCGCGTAGTAACAGTCCTCGTGGTGAGTCAATGATCTTACTCTCTTCTTCTTCTTTTTTTTTTACCGTAAATTATTTCGTGTATACTTGGTCACGCCCGCTGGATGAAACGCCATGGACTGTGCTTCATTAACTTATCGCGGTTGGGTTGCATACCTTTGTTTCCTCGTGTACACACTACATTATCTCGGACTATTTGGCTTTGTAGAGAGTGAGAGATCGATTAAATCGGAATTTTTATCTTGGCCGTGCATCGAATTTACTTGTTACTACCTCTGTTTCTAAACTTTATCGGCAATTCACGATCAATTATGTTCATTTATATTTAGAGTGAAATTTCTGATTAATTTGTTCAAACATCGTGTGAATGCACATATGGCGAGGTGAGAATAGTAAATAGTTTTAGATTTCTTCAGTCTCAGTGTATCGAAGATGATTTAATGACCGTTTGCTTTATTAGCGATTTTTTAATTGAGATATTCTCCGCATAGATAATATCGAAATGTAGTTCGTTACCACCGACGACTCGTGACGAAAATCGATAACTTTAACGTCTAATCATAAAAATGAAAGATAAAATGTTTGAAGTCGAGCATAATGATTATATTAATTATGCTGGGAAAATCAACAAATAATTATGTCAACGGTAACAAAAGAAGAGCGACGTAATTTGGTGTTACGTAAGAATAATAAAACGGCTGATGTTCAATATTATTATTTATTTTTTAAACATTAAATTAATTATACAAATGTCGAATGGGCGAAAAATTTCTGTACGACATTCCTAGTTTTTTTTCTTTTTTTTTTATCAACGTTGAAAAACTTGAAGAAATGTCTTTGCTTACTTTTATATCTAATTTGGCATATAGCCTTTAAGTTAAGGAAGTCTCACAAAAATTTTTGTTTTATTTTTTCACACAATAGCCTCATTTAATTCGGCGTTTAACTCGTCGTCTGCGCAGGTGTGTGACCTATGCAAATCTCAAATTAAACGGGAGAGCTTTCAATCGTAACGTAAAATTGCAACTCAATGCAACAAACAATACATCTTTTTTTATAATAAATAAATATTCGATAATATTTCTTAGGCTAGTAGACTTACGTGACTAATTAATCTAATTTTGATTTTGAGATTTTGATTTTCGTTTACTTTATCACCTTAGAATAAATTACAATTCATATAATCTTAGCATTTTGTTATAAAAATACCCATTAAAAAGAAAATCTTTAATTTTATAGTTTTTTTTTCTCAGTACTTTGGCTATTTTCTTCGTACAAATTCATGATATTATTAGCAAAACTTTGGATTGCACTTGTTCGAGTTGAAAATCATTTATTCAATATGCAAAACGCAACTACACATTACTTGTTTTCCTTAGACAATATTACTGGGTAAATTCATCTATAAGTGAACAATTTTTTCCTTTCAATATGATTATATTTTAAAAACATTTGGTATACTAAACAGTATTATAGGCATCTATGATAGGAACATTTGATTCTGTGCTTGTAGGTTTTCTTTTCTCATATTGGCAGTATATCATATCGATGTTCAATTTCCAAAAAAAAAACTTAGGCATTCGTTCGAAGCAATAATGAATGACTTTTGGACATGTGTATATACGCGCATCCAAATTAAGGATAGAAATAAAAGAAAAAACTTTTGTCTTTAAAATTGCCACTTTGTAAATAGTCATTTTCATTTTTTTTCCCTTAAATGCTAATTTTGATTTATAACTCTTTGAATTCACGTACGACCTTATTAAAATAGAATGATCTTTAATAATCAATATACTTGTATATAAATAGTGAATCTGCAATTACGCACCGACCGCATCTAACGACTTACGCACTTATATTTATCTCTAATAAACTTATAATTACCATATTTCTTTCGTTTTATCAACCACAACTTAATTATTATTATTTTTTTATATATTATATACATCATACATATAAACCTTGTATTCGCAGGTGTATGACCCGAATTGCAGTATTATTATTCACGGCTTTTTTTTTCTT